TACTTTCTCATTAATTTTATATTTTAAATTTTAATTTTAATTCTATTTATTATTTTTTTAAACATGCATGAGAATTTGTGTTATTTAATTAATAATTTACATCGATACGCAAAAGATTACATGGCATTGTAGGTGGATTGGTGGCCCAGTAGAGGGGGCACAAATTCTTAAGGCACTTTTTGGCCACCCAATCAGCTGCAGAGTTAGCCTTCCTACATACATAGTTAAATTCACAGAAGGAGAAAGACTTGCGAAGCTCCCACACGGAAAGCACCAATGGTTCTATTTGCCAGGGGAAATGGGCAAAAGGTACCCGTTTGCCCCTTAACTTTTTGAATTTAAGGATTTTTACCCTTCATATTACAATACATGAATTTTTACCCTTCATATTTTCGAGTTTGAGGAAATGAGGCAAAATTTAACGCCGGAGTGTCACGTGTAGCACGTGCACCGTTGGCTTCTGTTAAGTATGCACATATCAGCGCCACCTCAGACTTTTTTGACAACTTGGCATGCCAACTTGGACCCCATGAGCGGGAAGTCTACCTGCTATCAATTTTATTTGTGGGCCCCACTACAGACTAAAGGTTTGAAAAAAAATATATAATATAAAAAAAAAAATCTTTCCTTTTTTTTTTTTTTTTTTCTTCTCTTTTCTCTCTCCCTTGGAACCCAACAGAGTTCTTTACTTGAGAGAAGCCTCCATGGAACCCACGCCGAAACCCAGGCCTGGGTTTGGTGGAACCCCCAGCATTGGATTCCATCGAACCTAGGCCTGGGTTCGTTGGAACCCCAGCGCCTGGGTTCGGTGGAACCCCCAGCGCTGGGGTTCCATCCAACCCAAGCGTTGGGTTCGATGGAACCCGCGCCTGAGTTCCAGAGAACCCAAGTGCTGGGTTCGGTGGAACCCCTAACGCTGGGTTCAGTGGAACCCCAGCGCTGGGTTCCAACGAACCCAGGCTTGGGTTCCATGGAACCCCAATGCTGGGTTCCATCGAACCCTAGCGCTGAGCTCCATCGAACCCAGGCCTGGGTTCGATGGAACCCCCAGCGTTGGGTTCAACAGTTGGTGTCGAAGATCTGAAAGGTCGGTGCTTTCTTCCAAAGCGTCGAGAAAGACAAGAGATTGCCTCTGTGTCTTGCTTTTCAGTGTCGTTGCTGGTGAAAGATCGAAATACCCTTTTGCAGTGGAAGGGCAATTCTGTTGCCCACTCCATTTGTGCAAGAGTTGGAAGCATTTTCTTCTGGAATCTGGGAGAGACTGGTAATTCTGCTGTCTTCTAAGTCGAATTCTGGTAAATTTCAAGTTTTGTTGTTTGGTTATCTTCTGTGGTTGTTGGTTGTTTGGAAGGTTCATTATATATAGATCAAGCACTGTACTTTAGTTTGGTGGATTTAGAGGCAGGTGGTGAGATTGCAAAAGGAATTTGCTTCTGAATTGGGTTTGGAGATCAATATATGTAGCTTTGGTTATTGCTTGGTGTTTTCT